GTATTTTTTCTTTCTTTCTTTCAGGGTTTTATATATGTCATTCCATTCCTTTCTTTCCTGCATGATTTCTACTGAGAAATCGGAGCTTCATCTTATTAATTCTCCTTTGTAGGTAAGTTTTTATTTTTCCCTCACTGCTTTCAGGATACTTTCCTTGCTTTTGGTCTTGGAAAGTTTGATTATAATATAGCTTAGTGATTTTCTTTTGGGACCTATCCTGTTTGGTGCTTGGTCAGCTTTTTGAATGCTCATCTTTTCATTTTCATGATGTGGAGGAAGTTTCCTATCAATGACTATTTGACAATTTTCTCTGTGCTTTTAGGGTTCTTTTCTTTTTCTGGAATTCTGATCACATGTAAGTTATTCCTCTTGATGGAGTCCCACATAATTGTTGGGCTTTGTTTGGACTTTTTTTTTTTGTGTTCTTTCTTCTGATTGTTCCTATAAAGTGATTTGTTTTCAGGTTAATTTAAACTTCCATTGATTCAAGTCTACTCCTTTTCCCTTTTAATGTATTATCTATTTCTGAAGTCTTAGTATTAATCTGGATTTCTCTTTGCTGTTTTTATATGATTTCTAAGTTTTCATTTATTTTGTCAGTTCATTCTTATAGTGTTTTCCTGAAGTCTCCTAATTTTTTTTTTTCTTTTCTGTGTTCTCCTTGATTTCTCTTGTGGGTTTTTTTTTTTTTCCCTTTCATAACTTTTTACTATGAATTGAGTGAAGGTTTACAGACAAGATTATCCATTTGACATTGTTTCATCTCAATGACTGCAATTGCTTCCATGCAACAACAGTTATCTCACTTCTTCCATCTCATTCCTATTTTCCTCCCAATCCTTCTGAACTTTGTTCTTAGGTAAATGTTGTCCTTTTGTTTTTGAATGGTTGGTCATTCCATGGTTAGCATGCTTTACTAGTGTTATTGTCTCTGCCATATACCCATCTACTGCTTGGTTGAAAATTGGGCCATGAGGTTGAGTTCGGTTTCAGATGTGAAGGGTGGTCGAGGACCATGGTTAAAAGTTCCTACAGTATCTTTAATTTTGAGATTTGTTTCACATGGTCTCCCACTCTATCTGAAACCTTCTAATGTGATCCCTTCCAGATCAGTTGGTAGTTGTGCCATGTTTTTCTTTTTCTTTTAAACTTTTATTGTGAATTGAGTGATAGTTTACATTGGAGAACATTGGTTTTACACTCAATCTATTGTGTTTCATTGCAATGATTACAATCCCCTCTGTGCATCATCAGTTAACAACATTTGTTTCTATTCCTTCTGTTTATTGTTACGAATCGGGCTGCGAACCTTCAGGTCAGCAGTTCGAAACTACCAGCTGCTCCATGGGAGAAAGATGAGGCTTTCTACTCCCGTAAAGATTTACACCCTCGGAAACCCTATACAGGGTTGTTATGGGTCGAAACTGACTCAACGGCACTTAACAACAACAACAACAACAAATACAAAAACATGCGGTAGTTGCATCTTTGATGGCCACTTAAGTTTTTAAGATTCCAGTCGCTACTCACCAAAGGAGGATGTCCACATTGTCATTGTGGACTATGTTATGCCAATTGAACATATGTCCCTTTAGACTATGGTCCTAAGTTCACCTGTGGGTTTCTTGATCTTTCTTTTAATTCATTGAACGTACCTAGATATCATTTTTTAAAAAAAATTCCTTTCAGGTGGTTCCAAAACCATTTACTCCCCAGAAACATTTTCTAACTCTGCATTTTGTGTGAGTCACTGACTTGCTTCTTTGTGTCAACTGAAATTATCTCTTGTCTCCAAGACATTGTGGCATCATTGTAACGTTATTTAATTGATGATTGTATACTGGTGTTCTTAGACCCTCACCACTTGCCTCCCTGTGGGTATGATATAAAATTAAATTATATGTGTATACTTTTCTGTTTTCTGTTCATGTAGCACAGCTCAGGGTGGATTTGGCTGCTCTTGGCTGCTGTTTATCTTTGATCAAGTGGTACAAGAGCTGGTAGACAATGTGTTTGGCTGTAGGAGGTAGGGATGTGGCTAGGCTATTTATGGATATGGTTACTATCT